AATGTGATTACTATTCAGTCTTGAAATTATTTTATATAATTTTATGGTAAAGCCAAAATGAAAATATCAGGGATATAATATCGCGTTATTAAATTTGAGACATAAGAGCAATGATCGAAAATATCAATATTTAATTATGTTTCACTATATCTATACTGACCCAATGAATGTAGAATAATTTGCAGCACAGCTCTATAAAATAACGAAGGAGAAAGATGCTTATTATATCTACTTCTTTCGATAGACTGTTGAGCTAACATTCTGGCATTTTTACTGAAATTCCAACATCCACTCAATGTTTCATTCGCTAAATGATAACAGCATGGAACAACAAGAAGTAAATTAATATCCTTCGCATGTAGAAAAGCTTTAATTACAGAATGCACAAGCATTCCACAAGTGTGCAATCCTGTCAAAATAAGATTTCCGTTTACATTCCAATCAGGGTAACACGTATTCACTACTTTGTTGTAATTAGTCGTGTCGTCTAACTCTTGAACTATATATCGAATCTGAAAAGAACAATTTTTTATAACATTGTGATAAATAATAATATAAAGTTAAATTTTTTTTACAAACCTTTGTTAGCGTTCGTTTCCTTTTTTGAATCTTTTCCTGACGATTTATTGCACCCTTGTAACAAACTTGCGACGAATCAATTGCTAATATAGGAATGTTAAAATGTTCTGATAAATATGTCGACAAATACGCCTTTCCAGCTCCGGCGTCTATTACTAAACTGTGAGTGGAAAGTGCTATCTCGGCAATAACTTTTCCAAGCATTTCTATTTCATGTGACTTCTTGGTATTCATGAGCTCAGACTTTGGATAAACAAATTTGTTTTCAATCAAACGTTCCGTAGAAGACTGCGGTAATAATTTTGGTAAATCATTCACGCATATAACAGCTGAACATGACTCTAAAGAAAGCGATTTTGTTAATTGTATGAAATTACTCAATTCTGAATCTATATTATTTTCTGCCCAGATATCGTCGTTCATATCAATATTTTCAAGTTCTGATCTTAATTTTTCTGGTAAGCACTTGTCCCATAATCCCTCGGTAATAAAATCAACTAAATGACAATCTATCAATTCTTGATAGATATTAATAAAATCCAATGCTTTCTCAAAATGCTGATTATATTCTGTCATCATTGTATTAAAATTCGAGTTTATCTGTTTCTGGATATAGCGGACTAATTTTTGCTAGCGAACAAAATTTGGCATATTTAAACTTAATATCTTCCACAGCCTGTAGAATGTTCAGATTGTCATCCTGGTGATTGGGAAGAGTGCTGCGAATATCTTCCAAGAGCTTCTTGGCTATTGTCATCGCTTTCTCGCATTTAGCGATATCATTATTTTGTAAATAGTGTTCCAATACTCCGCTGTAATATCCTAATCGTGCAGCAATTATGCTGGCTCTGTGATATCCGAGATGGTATCCCTTTAGCAGCTGTTCCCTGCCACTCTCATAGCCTTTCTCGTAGCCTGACTTTTGTGCGATTTCTTCCGCGAACAATAAATCTTCAAAGACTTCATTTACATCCAGATCTTTTTTTTCCTGGGACATAATTATATTAACTAAAAAAAGACAATTATAAATTATACGCGTCATTATATCTCATCACACAAGGAAACATCTTTATTAATCCATTCTACTTATTCTACTTAATTTAACAAATTATAACACTGTACTTGTTCCATTTACTTTTTAGCAAATTATTATAACACACAAAAGAAAACTATTGTAAGAAGCTTTCTGATCAAATTACTGTGTATAAAAAGGATATTAATAAATAACAAAGTAAATCGTGGTGCTTATTAAGTAAATCAATGTCTATAGAACTGCGGATATGG